TGCAGGGGAACCTTGAGGTCTTCTGATGAGCACTTTGACTAAACTAAACCTTAAGTGAATCTTCTACCGATGCATTAGTCACTGTTCCTACCTGCCCACAGTTATAGCTATGGCTAATTATTTAATATTAAGTCAGGTGCCAAGCCATGCCTTTCTCAGCCATGTCCCATAGCTCTACCTACAGAAACAAGCAAACTGCATGAACCACGGCCTTGTTCACTAGCTAGTAACAAGCCCTGGCTAACTTTCCAGCTTCTTGCATAGTGGGACAATCCACTAAAGACCCCCCAGAAAGAAAGAGTCCTCTGCATTAGGTCTAGAGCTTTGAGCATATGCGTATCTCTATCTTTGTGACAGAAATTCTACAAAATAAATATGACAAGTTTTAAAAGCATCTTTGTATTTTATAATTTATACATTGTCATAGTTCTGTGTTCATTAAGGTCGTTATCGCAAGAGACAAAATATTATATGCCTGTACTCAGGGAGAAAAGCAGCAAGACTCTATCTTGGTGTTGTACAGAGTAATGGATAGCCAGTTAAAAATTATTCCTCCAACCAAAGCCTAGCTAATCCTTTTTCTGAATTTTCAAGCACAACTCCCTACTAATGACAATTTTTAGTGCAGTTTCAACCTCTACATGTGAGAAGGCTGAGATAAGAAGAGCCTCCAACTCTCCCCATCTCCTGGCCATGAAACACAGTATTTCCAGGCCTTTCTACTGTAGTTACAGTCATAATAAAACATAGGAGAAAAAAACAAGAAGAAACACAAAAGAGATACATTTTAAATAAAAACATTTATATACATTAGCTATACCACTATGAAATAGAACTAAGCAAAATAAATAAGTTGTGTTTCTCCTTTCTTTTCTTACATTAAGGCATAAAACAGAAGCAGGGCTTTTTCTTGCATTTGACAATTTTGACAACATGGATAAACTGGTGTATGAGAATCCACAGGAAATTAGTGGTTTAAATTAACCTGCCTCTGAATGTCTGGTTTGTTTTTTTTCAACTGGCAGTACTGAAAGACACTAATTTATAGCATCCAAATGTTTTAAGAGAGTATATCCAATCATATTAAAAGCAGGCCTTATTTTGCTGAAAATACAAGCTGAAGGCAGGTACTCTACAGTTGGAGATGTAAGACCATATGCTACCTGCACATCCGATCTCACTGAAAAAAGAACCAGAGAAACTCCACCAGATTACTACAGGCAGATTTAATGAACAAGAATAATTTTCAGGAAGTGTTCTTTAGAGTGCATTTCTCCTCAAGAGGACAGCAGCAGCACCCAACTTCTTGTCCCATTTCAGAGTACATTTGACTTGCTTTTATTTTGCCAGAACCAAAAAGCTACTGAGATTTTAGGATCAGCCATGCTCTTCAGCAGTAACCACGAAATTTTACTCCACCTCCTACCTTGCCTTCATTGATAAATACAGATGTACATCCAATAGTTATGTATATATACTTGCATGTCATTTACATTGAACCAATCTCATTTGTCTTTGCAAATCTAATCAAGCACTTCACAATTAAGCAGGGCAGTGGTAGATTGTCCCTATCCTGCTGCTCTCGGACTCCTTCCCAGTGCACAGCACAGCCAGGTTCTCTTAATCCTTCTGCAAAAAAGGCCTCTTCAGCAAAGCACAGAATAGACTATTTCAGTTCAAGGTGTCTTGATTGCTGCCAGTTCCAATATTTGAGTAATGAAACTAAAATGACCACCTCAGAGAACCTTTCTCTGCAGTTAAACTTGAGGAATTGGTGAAAAGTTTAATTCTTTCATACATTCCCTTTTCATGTCTCCCTGGTATGAAACAGCATGTGACCAGATTTCATCAGGGCCTAAGCAAGTCTTGAGGAGAACCAAGGGAAAAAGATTTTTCAAATAAAAGTAACATTACCATATATATGAATAAATTTTAGAGGAAATAAGAGTTTTCAACTATTCCTCAAAGTTTGGTTGCTGTGGGGAGAAAAGAAAGTGCTGTGGAGGACAACGTGAAGAACAAAAAAAGTAATTTTTCTTTTTTTCAAGACATATCAGAATTAAAGATTGCAAATTTTTGTTCCTAATACCTGACAATCTCCAGGAAAGAATTAATGAAATAACTGAGCGAAAGAGTGAAACATAAAATCCTTAACTTTCTAATTGTATTCTGAAACTGCATTTGGATTCTTGGCTTTAGAGTGGTTTAATGATTATTCAGTACAAACGGTTTCACATAACTAATTTCATGGGGTTGAGAAATACCAAAACTTTCTGAGAAACTTTTGCCCTGTGGACAACCAGAGGGCTCTGGAACCCTAGGCTCAGTCCCTAGGCAGACAGAGCTAACCAGAATACCTTAAAAGACTCAGAAACCAGAATTAATATTTTCCGTTTCTTTGATGTATCACTCTAATTTAGCAGAGCCGTAGTAAAGTACAATAGAAGCAAATGCAATTATTTTCAGGAAATTTAACCGGTTTCATGCATTCCTCCATTTTTAGACACTAAAATATAGAGAAGTTTACAGAATTATTTCTCTAACAACTACGCAAAGATATCTAATTCTGTGTCCTTATTAGTCCCTGCACAGCAGCTTATAATGACTCCCAAGAAACAAGGGCTCCTGCAGTTTAACCTGCAGAATGGGCTGTGAGGGTGCAGAATCACAGTTTGCTGCATAGTTCTGCTCGTGGAAAATGAAGTGTTGTCCAGAAAAATATAATGGCATTTCTTTGGCATATCACACCTTCACTCCTCAAAGTGCAATTCCAGTGAATACTCATGTATGTTAGAAGTTGACAAAGATCAACCTGGAAATATTTTTTGCCTGATTTCCAAAAGGAAGAGAGGAAGCAAGCTTTGAGAGAAGGAACTCAATGCCAGCCAGAAGAGCCTTCCTCTAAGAAGTCTTTGGAGTCTGCAAGATTAATCCAAAGTTTACTACTATCTTCTCTAAAGAACCATAAAGGCAGGTTAGACCAGGACTGTTATTACCCCTGGTATCTGTAACGGATGCTGCCCTAGGTTTCTTGGCACTGTCACTGCCTCACCCTCAGTGCCAGACCTAATGTCTGCTACTTTTTATGTGTGTATTGGCAGGGTGCACAGACCACTCCAGCCCCTCCACAGCTGTATGGTGCACACAGGCACGGGACTGGAAGTTGCTTATTTAATTAGTAATGCAAGATAGCCACATAATCACTTGAATTTCTTCTTCACAGAAAGGCATAACAAGTGGAAAACTGAAAGCACACAGGGGATACTGAAAAAGGTATTAGAAGTTAAGAACCAAAAACTGTGGAGGAACATCTCTGTACCTACTCCATCTATTCCCAGGCCCTTCCCTCCTTCTCTCTGCAGGGCTGTGCACTTTCTTCTCCCATGCATACCCTGTTACATAGGTTACAAAAGGATCCCGGTCTTCCAGGTACATGCAGATTCACTAACACATTTAAAGAACGAACCCTTTCTGTCTTCCACTCAAAAAAACACCAACACAAACAAAAAAACCCAAGAAGCACAATACTTGCCTAGAAGAAATATACCTGCTATTTCAGTCTTCAATCACTACACTTCCCAGCTACCAGTAGTGCCCAATTATATACCTAATTGGTGAATAAGTTGAACTACATAAGCTGTTCAGAGTCCAAGATCAGCACAAAACTTAATATAAGACATCACATATTCAAATATTCATGTACCCAACATTTTGTAAGATGATGACTTTTGCTGAGACAACAGTTTCATTACCTGCCACAGTGAAAATCTAATGACGCATGGAAATATGCCTCAAATATATCAAACAAGCAGAACCGTCACAGGGGACGCCTTCAAATCTAGGCACCAGCCTTCCAGTCCAACACAGGCAGATAGAGAGATAGCAGCTAAATCCATCCAAACTAACTCTACATCTTTTGAGAGGAAAATGTAATGAAACTACTATAATCAGCACCACCTGCCCTATCATTAAATGTGCAGAGGAAAATACAGAAGGGTCAAAACCAGAGATTTTTCCATAAAACAGGTATTTTTAAATGAACCTGCAGCTGATTGCAGGATACAAAAATAGTTAATAGCTCACATTTGGGTTGTTTTAGGTTTTTTACTCTGTGATACTACTTAAGATGCTTTTATGGTTGATAAAGAATGTTTGGAATATCCTGGGATCTGGCAATGCTGAACTTCAAATATCAGCATGCAATTTGTAGGTGAAGAAGACCAGTCCCAGGTCACCAGCCCAGTGTTTTAATGTCACTTTGAATAAAGAAGAAAACTGAAGTAATAATCCTACATATGCACTCTTCTTAATATGGGCTTCCTCTCATATTTTCAGTTTCCACAGTGAAGATGCATTTTCATTATATGTTTGAGGATGCTCCTTGGAAAATTTTAGACACATGCAAATACATAAAATGACTGCTAGGTAATTTTAATTTCATATCTTTAAACTTCTGTAACTACTAGCTAATTAATAAAGAAACCCAAGCTGGAATTACTTAGTGTCTCTAAAAAGCCTCAGATCAAAAGCAGTATAAACGCACACTAAATAAATGTGATAGCACTGTCTTCAAATTTATAATTAATATATTTTACAACACTAAAAATAACAAGCATTTAATGTGCAATGTCAGACCTGACCCACATTTGTCAATTCTGTAGCAATATTATTAGCTTTCAATGGCAAAATGTTTTTCCAAATAATACTCTCCAATTAAAATAATCCTGATGGTATCAGTTGTGAAGAACAGGAACACTCCACATACAATATAAATGTATTTAAGACTCAAAAAATAATGAATTTTCACCTGTCCATTTCAGTCTTAATGCAGTTTTTTCTGGAAGCAGGAGGAATCCCATACAAATTTAGTCAGCATATTGCTCGTGCTTGTACCATACTTTGGCAGCCAATATCATATAAGAATACACTTCTTTGTAATAGCTTGGAGTAGCATAAAGATTAGACAGATAAAGTAATATATACACACACATATATATTACCTGTTCTTGCCTCTCCAGCCACTTGTCCACCATGGGATGACTGGCACTTAACGATGAACGAGCATTGTCTCTTTGAAACTGGTTAGACCAGCTACTAGTATCTCGTGGTAGGCTTCTGTAGTTTTCATCTTTCTAGTTTAAAAGAAACAAAAAAGTGTCTTATAAAAAACAACCAGTCCTTGCACATTAACAATGCAGCTGGTTATTAAACTAATACAAAAGGAAGACTGACAAAGTAGAACGCAGGTCCAGCTGGACCCAAGGTCAACATGATTGCCTAGTCATTCAATTGCAAAAGCAACCCTTACTTAATGGCAGTGAAGCCCCAAAAAAATCTTTGGTGGGTCTGAAGCTCCTGCATTCACTTGTGCTTCACAACTTCTCTTTTCCAACTTCAAATCTTAAGAGCACAGACTTCCCAGGTACATACCCAGCAAGGCTTCAGCATCAGGCTCCTTGACTTCATTCCCACCAAAAGCATGCAATACTCCCTCCAGTGAAAGCAAAGGCCACTATATAATTTTCTCAAGTTTGTGTATGTAATCAATTTTACAATCAAAGCTGTCTCAGTGCTCCAGGGACTGTCCTCCACACCAGAACAGCATACTAGAGAGTTCAAAACTTGAATTATTCCACATAATAATGCTTTGCTTGGTTTGCCTGAAGGTATACAAATACAGTCACATTTGTTAAACAGCAGCAGATGCAGATTGTGCTGATGGAGATACATTTATCTCATTGAGACTGATACCAAAAAAAAGATTTTTTTTATTTCTAATTGATGAGTTTGTCTTCACATCTTTCCCACAAGCTGTACAAATTACTCAGCTTCTACAGATAAGTCCTAACCCACTAAAAGCCAATAAAAACATAGAGGCATATCCTTAACCATGGGAGGTACCCTTAGCTGAAAGACAATGAATTACTTACATAGGTTAGTTCCCTCCAGTTGGAATAATATACGGAACTGAAATTCTGCTTAGCTTTTCAAAAGAGGATTATAAATATACTGTAAGTATCCTTCCTTCAGAAACAGAATATTTTTCCAGTCAATGTTTGTCTATCCTCATGCCAAAACAGATAATTTAGAGAAAGTATCTATTTTCCTTACAGTCATTTAATAGCAATTAAACTAGGATCACAGTCCTACTGATTTTGCAATACCACCATTTTTAGGAATCTCAAAAATATCTTTAAAAAATAAACACTAGTGCACATTCACAGCTAAAACCCGATTGTTGTTTTTTCATTTATCATACATTCTTAAATCAATCAGCACAAGTATTTCTTTTCCCTAGGCACTGTGATGGTATTTCTTTGCCCTAACACAGTACTAGTCCAGTATTCAAAAATACAGACTGTAGCATCAATTCCCTTACAATTGTCCTTCACAACCTTATTTCTTGTAAATGTATTTGAGAATTTGCTAGGAAACAGGTCTCTGTAACTGATACACAGAACAGTTTTCAAAAGCTTCCTGTGTGAGAGCAGTCTGTTCCCAGACTTATCAAACTTCAGCTTTCTTAATTGATGACAACTTCTTTTCTTTAAAGAGACTTCTCAGTATAAAATACATCTTCCATTTCAAGACATTAAAGCATGAATTCAACCAGCATGGGATAACCTTGTAAAAATATTTCTGCACAAGTAACCAGTTTAACAAGTCACCAACATACTCATTTACCGTACTATAAATGATTAAGAACTTTGTGTCTTTCAGCAGTTAAAAAAATAATCCAATGTTCCAGTGTGGTTAACCACACAGCAAATTAGAGACTTGCTCTGTTTCTTGCTTAGAAAGGGGCAATGAAAGTCAGTCACTGCTTTGTATAACTGTCCCTTAGAAGAGCCATAAAACCCAGGGAATGGTGTGTACAAATTGATTTTTTCCTGTTGCTTCTCTTCTTATTCAATTCTGCTCTTCCAGTGACAGCGGTGGCACAGTTCCTAAAACAACAATTTTTCTTGTTCAAAGTGGTGGAAAGGTAAAACAACAAAATCAAAATCTGACAAAAAAATAATGAAAAAACATTTTATGTGCAAAAAAAACCCCAAACAGTTGGCACATAAGTTCTTGTAATCTAACAATAACTCGCTACCTGGCAGACCATCAGCCAGTCTGAATGAATAGAAATTTCTTCCTGTGTAACAAGATACTTTCTGTATTTTTGTACTTCCTAGATAATTCAATTTTTTATTGATTCGTGTTTACAGTCTACAACATTGACTTTTTAAAAAGACATTTTTATCTACCCTACACAAAAACCTCTTTCCACAGAGCATCCATTACCCAAGCACAGGATTTTTACGCAAAAGTGAGAAAGAAGGGAAAAACATTCATCAAGGGATGTGTTGTTCATCAATCATTCCAATGCTAAGTCTCTGGAATGGTAGAGAGATGTGGTTCCTGTAACTTCTCATACTTCCCAGAGGCTCCAAATAATGCTATTGTCACAGTGGAATAAAATATTTTTCCAGTGTTGCAATCACAGAGTCGTGTTGCTGTTAGCCAAACAGTGGCTACAGTGGCAAACAGTGAAACATTAGAAAAACAAATTGCCATAGACAAATCCTTCATTCTTTGTCGTTGCTTTTTAGCAAACAGCTATCCCTGTACACCACAATTGACAGCACTGGGGCAAGGACTAAACTAGAGCAGAAGCAGAAAGGTCAGTGCTTTTAACACTACTGGACACGGTCCTCCTTGCACACAGCTACACAACAAAACCTGGAGATGCTGCTGGCTACTTGGAACCACATCTATGCAGGGATCTCCATTGCTGCTACTGCCAGATCTAATTCAGCGACAGCAGTGGTGATAACTATAGAGGTGGGGCTGAAAAACACAGAGCTGCAGCTTAGACATTAGGATTTACTGAACCAGATGCAATGTTGTTTCATATCTCTATATCTATATAGATATATATATTTGGTGTGTTGGTTTTTTTTGTCAAATAAGCAAATGTTGACCCAGAAAGTTTTTTTTCTATTCAGCATGATCAAGCATTAGCATACATGCTCCCAACATCTGACTGGGAAAGGTGTCACTTTTAACTTCAGTACTATATAGAAATAGATTTCATGGTACAGAAGCCATCAGGGTCACACGGGGAATCCTCATTTCTTCTGGAGCTACAGTTGTAAGCCCTCCTGAGACTGGGGCAGACATGCATCATCAGTTACAACTAAATGTTCTAAATTTATCTTTTTTAAAAGTTTCTTTTCCAAACATTTTTGGGGACCATGGGACATGTCTGTTTTATCATGTTTGAAATAGCAATTGGTCAATATAACACTAAAACTGCCCAATCACGGTATTACCACTGCACTCAATAGCAGTATTTTGCAGTATTTTTAATGGGTACACATAATCTAACACCTCACGATTTGGTTCAGCATGGTGTCCCTGCAGGGCTCTACGGGAGGCTTGGGTGAAGAGGGTATGAAAAATAAAGCAATTTTGCTATACTTTTAATTTCAGATTATTTGCAATATATAACAAGCTCCCCATCACAAACTCTGCAGCTTGTAGATTAAATGGATTAGCATGAGTTTTGTGCTTCAGTTACTGTCCGTGCATAAACTCACTCATGACTTTAGCCCACAGTTGTTCCCCTACAGACTCCCAGCATCGCTACCCAACCAGAACTGCCTCCATGCTGTACAGTGACATGCTGTCTGTAGTTTCATTTGCCACTAGGCCACTTTCCAAACAGTTAAGGATTTGGGTTTTTTTCCTTTGTTTTGATGGCTAACATAAAGCATGGACAATGTTGGTATTTTCTTGGGGGTTTCTTTAATACTATATAGCAATACAATAGTTGTAAAACAGGTTGAAGACCTCTTCAATGTAATTCTCTGGAGAGAGATTTGAAAATGAAAACCAAGATTTCACTCTTCTTATTTCTACAGAAAATTGCCTACCTCTCATTTACAATCTTCAATAAGAGAGACCATCCTAGGCACTGACTTTTTTTTGTCTATCCATTATTTTTTCTTGCAGACTGTGCACTTTGGGAAAGGCTTCTCCCTTTTTTGGGTTTGATTCCTTGTGATGGTATCAGATTGAGATAGCATTTGTCAATGAGAGAAAAGACTCTGTTTATCTTTTGAGGTTATAATTTCATTTGACAGACTTTGGTCAAATTCCTGTCAGCAAATCTGTTTATTGTTGAATCACTATAAAGGATGTTCTTATTTTATGCTTCACTATGTCCATGTAAGAACCTGAACAGTTTGGTGTCACTCTCAGCCAGGATGCTAGAAGCTGTAATTAACAAAACATTCATTCATGTAAATACCCCTCTGATGCAAATACCTATTTATAAATCCAGTACTATGCACGTATTTTCCATGCTGAAGGTCTAGTAAACAGATTCCCCAAGTTTTTTGTTTTGTTGGGTTTTTTGTGATTTTTTTGTTTGCTGGGTTTTTTTTAACTGTGATTTAGACAAATAAATGAGGTATAAGACCAAGTGGATCCCCATTTCGTAAAAAAAAAAAAAAAAAAAAAAAAAAAAAAAAGCCTGGAAAAAAATAATGTCTATCTGACAGGGAAAATACATTATAATTGGAAAATTAATTAACCCAATATATGTACTGAATGAACAGAGATTCCCTTTTTAAAAAGAAACTAAAAACCTTACAGAGAGATTTGGAACTGTTCTCACTAAACTAGCAGGTTTTAAACAATAAATTGTACCAAATTTTGGCAGTTTACCTCAAAAATAGTTGTACCTGTCCCTCTTTATAAATATCCATATATTTTGAGAATCTGACACTACTGCTTGGTTGAGCTTCCTTTTCCTCTCACAGATTCAGTTTTCTTTATCATTCTAAAGTTTTATTTTATTTCAAAACTTGCTTTTTTTTGAGGTGTGCTGAAGGACATAGGTTCCAGCAGCTACAACAATCAATACAGCCCAGCCTTCTGACACATGTAAGAGGGAACCGGTTCCAGTCCCCAAATCTCATGAACCTTTGAACTCTCCAAGGAGTAAAGTAAAAGAGGACTCCCAAATTAAAGAACTACAGAAACTTTGTGCCTCCCCTCCTCTCTGACCTGCAACATGGGTCATTTTCAGCAACTGGTAAAAACTGTCTTAGGATGTAGAAGATGCAAATCTACTAGT